GCGAGGAGATACTTGCTCTCAGACCCCTTCTTGCTGTCGAAGCTCCGTTCCTACAAGGACCACATTGAGCCCGCGCAGCGCGAAAAGATTCAGAAGTACTTCAAGGATCCAGACTTTAGCTCGGAGCGCATGTTGAAGTGCTCCAAGGCCGCTTACGAGCTTTATGCATGTGTATCTTCGCTAGCAAAGGGCTAGCTGGATTTGATCAATGGCATCAAGAAGTTATGTATGCCCCTGCTCTTGCGATCCTGAGGGAGGCACAGCCCGCAAAAGGTTTCGGGTGGAACTAGACCAGCAGCCTGCTATCATAGCAGTATTGTTGTCATGTTCTGCAAGTGCAGTGCAAGCATGCTTGTAAATGTAGAGCATTCCGCTGCCGACATGTTTCAAAAGAAGCTGGCCTCACTAATCTGCTCGTACAAGCAGATTTGTAAATGCCAGACTTTTGATTGCAACTTTTCGATAGCTCACGGAACAAGTGCCTGGCGCAGCTTTGCGATGCTTGACAGTTGCTGCTAAAGGGGTTGCTTTGGATCATGCAGCTCACACCCCTTTCTTTGTGTGGTTGTCGGCTCAAAGCACCAAGTGAGCAAAGTGAGGAGTGCAGCGGACACGTTTCAGAACGATTTAGGTCAGGCCCAGCCGGATACTTTCAATACGGGCAGCTGACATAATTACCCGGTTTGTCTTGATTTTTTCTTGTAGGGGCATAGACTACGTAGAGACTATTTACTATTTGGTCCGCCCTGCACTTGCCGACGCTGGATGTGCGTTGGGTACCTGGTGCCGAGAGGCACCTGTTCTGCAAGCTAGACGGCAAGTGTTGAGAGGCTCAGTTTCACGTGCGAATGGATTCAGAGATTATAGATATAATGATATATAAATGATATTAGACTTGGAGGACTGAGGCCTTCAGTTCTCCGGAACGGCTTGGTGCACCGGTTTTCCGGTCCGGCCTGCACGGTTACATGGCTTTGCACGTGAGGGACCATCGTTTCAGCTTTGTCATCCGGTCACATGGCCCCGTGAGGAGGGTGAAGATGCCCGGCCTTGGGGACCTGGTGGCTCGCGATTTCTTTACAGGTGGGCGAAAAGAGCGAGGTAAAAAGCATGGTAAAAGCACCCGAAAAGCTGGGTTTGAAACGCCAAGCTTTCGTCAGAGCAGTCGTGAACAAGAGCATGGCGCCACTGGCGCCTGATTGATTCTTCGCTTTGTATGTCTTTCGGTTGGGGACGGCCGTCAACGCCACCGAATACGACTCAGGCATCAGCCCGGGCATCCGCCCAAGCCGAACTTCCTTTGAAGAGGCTCCGGCTTTGCCTGCGCCAACGCCTGAGGACATTTCGAGGGGTTACAGGAAGAGAAACTGTCGGACAGTCATATTGTACATGACATACTGTAGTGATGTGTTTTTTGTCATGACTTATGACGACACATCAAATAAACATGCAAGTCATACCATGCTTTGACACATTTTCACCATAAGGCAACTGCAACATCCAATCAAGCTTCGACGTATATAATCAGACCTGTTCAAGGTCGGCCGTCGGCCAGATCGGGCCTGCTCCACCTCCGGTGCCGGATGCGCGGGCGGCTGCGGCGGCAAGACCTGATGTCCAAACACCACCTGAGCCTCCACCGCCAGAAGCCAACGAGGACAGGTGAATTCAGATGCTGAGGACCTTGTGAAAGCTAATCTTGGGGTATGGGATGGTATGGGGTCCAAACAGATTATACATTATATGTGAAGCAAGTGCAAGACCCATAGAGATTGGACTCCTGGGTTGCTGACGTCGTCAATGAAGTACTGTAGGAAACATCCAAAGGCAGGGCACCATTTTCTACGCTTTCGACGTTTTTGATCATCTTTGTGGGCAAGCATTCCCCAGATGCAGGGCAAGTTGGGTAGTGGGTAGCGCTTGATCACTCGAGGACATCCTTGCTGGCCCGGAAGCCGTGAGCTCGCAAGCCTCCACGCAGACGATCCCCGGCGGCCCACGCAGGCGACGGCCTCGCCACCCGCACGGCGTCGCCCCCCGCACGGCGTCGCCCCCCGCACGGCATCTCGCGCCGCGGGGCGGTTTGGTGTCGACCCGAGGCCGTCGGGAACTGGTGGAGGCGTTGATCACTTTGGGCCACAGCCTTGGAGGTTTGGACCGATGGACGATGAGACGAGAGAAGGCGAGGCGAAAGCGCCGAACGGCGCTTCGGTGAGGCCAAAAGCCGGAATGGTGAACAAGTTGTGTTCGTGGTATGTTCCGCTTAGGATGTCTTGTGAGGTCTGTGAACACCTTCTTCATGGCCTTCTCAGCCATTCTCATCGCCTTAGGGCTGGGCTATGAGTCAAGGCCTCGGTAAGCGGTGTTCAATTGGTTTGGGAAAGGTCTAGCTGGTCGTCCCTGCTCACAGATCTCACAGCAGCTGTGGCTCGCAGCTTGATTCGTGCAACAGATGCCAAAACAAGGGGAAAAGACAGTGATGGTCAATCATCATCAATCCTCTGGTCACACATCTCCCTAAATGGCCATGGCCGATCCATACAGGATTTGATCGATGATTCGGTGCAACAAAAGTGTCCCGGATGTCCAAGAGCATGGAAAGATAGTGTACAGTTTCAGATAGTTTCAGTAGCTCAAGTGAAGACTAGCCAGATGGGGGCCATGGAGTGGCGCCTTGGTTGGAGGAGTGACTCCACTGACTCAGGGATTCGCACTGACCGGCGGTGTCATGTGACAGGATTTGATGTTCGCTTCCCCTCCCCATTCCAATATATTCCAATGCCAGCGCGGGAATTTGTTTCTTCTTCTCGTTGGTGTTGTACTGTGGTTTTTGTGGTCAGCATCTTGCATAGCAGGACCACTTGGTGGTTCTCACTGGCTGTCATAGCATAGGCCATCATAAACTTCCCGGCGGATCTAAAACCGCGCGTGCGTTTTAGCACGCCAACTTCAGAGGTGTTGCAAATCCACTGCAAAAAACAATGGAAAAGAGGGTTTGGAACCTCTTGTAAATCGGAAATTCTGTGTCCAAAACTTGGAGCAAAATTCGCTTGAAACACGAAAAAACCTGAGAAAACACACATGTTCACCGATTCGATCGGAACCTTTTCACAAAGTCGTCCAACCAGAGGATGGGAGATTCCCACAAAACCTCGAGAACAGATTCGAAACCTGAAATGAGAGGACGTGGAAAACGGGCGATCCGCAAGAGAAGAATATAAGTGAGGCACAGTGCAATGCAGAAAAACTGATTCATCCTGAGAGCCGCAACCAGCAGCAAGAAACAATTTATCCGCGCACAAACATTCCAGAACATGCCACCGCTCGAAACAGGTTTAAAAAACATGAAATGCATCGTGAAGGCAGCAATGCTCACACAGTAATGAAAACTGTTTTGCCGAGAAAAAATATTCACATGCACAGAAATATACATACATATGCAACGTCACAGGAACGTCAACATGCCCCCCCCCACCCCGTGCAACGTCACCAGCATATAGCACAACGTAGCATCCAACCCAGTGTGCAACGTTAACCTATATGTGTGAAACGCAACGTCAAGATGCAACATAGACGCATACATATATATTCTGGGAAAGTGCACAAAACATCCAAGAAGCAAAAAACGCAAAAACGCACGTACGGTTTTAGAGCCGTTAGCATAAACTTCAATGTAAGTATGGTGGGCTGACAAGTAAGGTAAGACCGTGACAGTGTCAAAAGAGCAGGATGAACGCTGATGCTAGAACTCAGTTTCACATAGTTTCACCAGTGTTCTTCACACGTTGCTGCACGTTTTTGCCGTATAATTACCATGTATATATGCGGTTGTCAGCTATCCATTGTTGTACATGTGTATTGTGGACTCTTGACACTAAAGCAATCTAAAGGCATCTTGTGGTCGCTGGGTCGAACGGTCGAACTTGTGTTCGCACTCCTACGATCCGAGCTGAGCTCGCGGCTTAGGATCGTGACCTTGCTGGTGGGTGCGGCCATCACGGTGCCACAGCAGCAATTACACGAATTCTTTGTGTTTTTCCAATCTCATTGAATTAATTACTTTTAATTTTGCTCCCCACTCTGGTCTTTGAGTTCTTTGAGCTTGGACAATCAGCAGGTCGACGTTGAGACGGGTCTTGTGCAAAGATTGCAAATTAATACCTCACCTGGCTCTTTAAGGTATACAGGGAAATCAAGGTTTAATGGCCGGTTTTCATTTGGAGATGCGACCATTCCGTCCAGAGACTTTGACGTATCCAGACTGAATCGTAAGGATAATGAAGGTAGAGATGAACTGAATTGGGTGCTTGGATGATCCTTGAATGTAAGGGACCGCTGGTTAAAGATGGGACATTGAACTTTAAAGCTTGAAGATTCGCGCGAGGTGGCGGTTCTCGGCTTCTGCAATCGCCGCTCATGGCAATGGCGGCTAGGCATTTTGCAGGTGGTCGCGTGGCTGCACAAAGCAAGGCATGTGATTAAGATTGACCATGACACGGTTCGGACAGCAACAACTCCCAAGCTCCCGATAAAAGATCAAGGAAGGCAGCGCTTGGAGGTCTAAAAACGCCAATTGGCCATGGTGGATTCCCTTGGTGATCGCCCATGCACGATCACTCAAAAGCCGGCCCCTCGGATCCCCGAGGTGAACATCTTGAGACGTCTCGTGTGGCTTCCCTGGCGTTTCTGCCGACGTCATCCATGGGAAGATTGCCAAGTCTTTGCCCAAGGGACTCGCACTTAGAACCCACACTGGTGTGCGGCTGGTGTGTCTGAAGGCTAAGCCGGCTAAGCCTTGGCTTTGGCGGTTTGGTGGATTTTCGGCCTGGAAGACTTGTGCCATCCTTTATAGTCTTGCAACTCACCGTCTTACTTGTGATACTTGTGGTTCCCTGCACTGCAACGTCTCTCGGATACTGAGGAAGCGGCCTGTGCCTCAGGTCTTGTGACGTTTGCGCTTCGCCTGCGTCCGCGCTTCGCCTGCGCCTCTGCCCGGAGGGGACATGCACCGTGAACCAAGGCCAGCGCATGCGCCCCTGAGATATTATCCCAGCGCCAAAGCTGCCAAGCGGCAAGGTAGAACAGCCAAGGCAGCGGCAGCCAGGGCATAGAGTTGTGGTTCTTTCAAGTCAGACTTCACTGAAACTGCTATCAACAACTTTCACCTCTATAATGCTCAACACTTAAAACATCTTAAAACATTCCTAGAGCCTTGAAGCATCTAAACTTGCTCTGAGGTTGCGAGGGAAGGAGGTCATTCACCTTCAGTGATTGATCTGAGCAAGCAGACCTGGCGTTTACAGATCTTTCCTGATCCAAAGGCTGCTGAGGCCCGAGCTTCTCAAGAGTTTTCCAATCTGAACGTTGCTTTTCGCTGTTTAATGTTATTGGGTGGTTGACAGGACTCCCCACCATCCCGTCGCTTTCCCGGGCAACCGGCCACATCCGGCCACCCCGTCTTCCACATTTCGAACGTTGCAAATGTTGGAAAACCGGACGCAGATAGATACAAAGATACAGAGATACACAGAGAGAGAGAGAGAGAGCTTCGTTTTGCCTTGTCTGATTTTTTTCTGCAATTTCGCATTTATAAGAAGATCGCAGCACCACCCTGAATCTTTGGAGGCCTTCTTTCAGGCACGTCAAAAATCTTTTGACGACCATCATTGGGATGAGGTGCCCATACCCTCAAACTGGCAGCACCTCGGAGTGTTGGAGCATTTGTTGTTGCATTTCACCATTTGTTTCAAGTTCTGAAACAGGTTTGGGCATTTGCACGTCCAGGATGTTGGGCATCTGCACACCCATCTACACCAACATCACCTTCCCATTTACGTCCGTGCCACTTGACACACCGCTACTGGTCATTCATCGGGTAGATCCTTCATGCAGATCCTTGGCCTGAACCAAGGCCGTTATTGATGGCGCCTTTCGTAGGGCGCAACAACCCCACAGGACAGAGAATGCTTTGTTTCGCCTTATTCATTATTCCAGATGGATGCGATTCCAATAAGCCTCATGCTACCCTGATGTCCAAGGCATCCAAGCACGCATATTCTCAGCCATCTTCCCCTTTTGGTCTCCCGCGGAGGCCTGTACCGGACGGTGTTCCACGTACCACCCGAGCATGCAGATCGAAGGGTCCACCTCGTCTTCCATGCGGTGGGCTCTGCCGTGATGCTGTGGGTGGATGGGCAGCACCGTGGAATGCCTGATGGACCCCGGGCGGTCGGGCACGGGGGGGAGGGTTTCGGCCCGCGGGGAACCTCACCTGCAGTCGACCCCTCAAACTTCAGCTAACTCACCCAGCTCAACAAAAGAACTTTACAGTAAGTTGAATTAGCTTTGCCCCCGTTCGACGAACAGCGTGCCTGGCAACAAGCTGTTCATTTCTTTGCCTGACTTGTTGTGGTTGTAGAGCTGCTCTTGCGGATTTTCCAATGGCCTAGGTACATTGGCTATTCCCAGGACTCGATGACTGCGGCTGAATTTGACATCACTGATGCTCTGAAACAAGGCAAGCAGCCAGAGAGTGGAGGCCATGGAAGGGAACAATCAATTTATTGACGTCAATGTTACAGTATTATATAATCATAGAGATATAGATAAATATTTATATTCATACGTCTATATTATATATATACACTTGTTCTGCGCAGTAATTGTGCATTCAATGGACGCCTGGCTTTCCGCTTTCACCGGCGCAGGCGCCTCAGTCTCGGAGGCCTTGCTGTCGGATCAGCACCTCTCAGACCATGCGACGCAGATGCACAAAGGCCCCAGAATATAATGGCCCTACCAGAAATGGCAGCTTTTCGAAACATGGTCCCTAGATGGCCCTAGAAATGGCAGCTTTTTAAGAGCCATGAACAGTCAGCAGATGCATGAGTTACATAGGTGCACAAGTGCAGACAGCGCTGGCGATTTTCTTTGTGAAATCAAGACCTAATAAAACTGACGTGACTCTGTTTGATGCCATCCGAGGTGCTGGTCGCCATGGTTCCAATGTGGTGTGATGGTAGCTACCTGGAGGCAAGGACAAAACAGGGTTCTTCAGCTTCACCAGAGTCAATGGTCAAGCTTTTCCTCCAACTTACTAGCTAGGCTATGGCCTCCAACTTAAAAAGCGAGCTTGCCTAGGACCAGGATCAGTGGTGGCTCACGGGAATTCACCGCACGGTCGAGCTTCACTTCGCTGCTCGGCACGAGGGGCGGGCTCATGAGGGGAATAGCGGAATAGCAGGGGTGGGCTTTGCTGGCTCAATGGATCAGATTGACTGTACATAGACCCCCAAATAGATAGAATAGAAAAGTAGATCCCCACTAAAGATTTATTGGACACG